GAGGACTATGCAGGGCAGGAATTCACCCTTTTCACCACCTTCTGGGACTGGACGAGCTGTGACCGCTGCGGGGTGCGGGGTGAGCAGCGGCGGATCGGGCTCTGTTACGTGCAGAGCACCCAGCTGAAGCCCCGGTACCGCACAGCGCTGCCCAACGTCACCTCCTGCGGCTCCAGGGCCGTGCCCGCGCACTTCCAGCACCTCATCCACCTCCGGAGCCCCGAGGTGGCCATCCGGAGCTGCCTGGCCCCTTGCTCAGAGAAGGAAGTCCCCGAGGAGGGCGTGCAGTCCGTCTCCAACATCGTTTACAAGCTGGGTGATAAGCCCCAGCTGCCCCATGTCCCCATCCAGTACCACAGCCAGCCCTCCAAAACTGACCTGGTCATCGCGTGCCCGGGAGCGCGGCCGGAGCACGCCGTGGCCTGGGACAAGGACTCTGTCCGGCTCTACCGCTCCCACTACCTCGTGGGGGTCAAGAAGTCCATGAGGGTCTTCATCGACCACGGCAACCACCTGCACCTCCAGCAAGTGCGCAAGAGGGACAAAGCCACCTACTTCTGCTGGCGGGAGGGCGAGCTGGTGGCCGGCTTCCAGCTCACTGTTACCTACCAGCCCCGGCGCCAGCGGAGCCCCACTGACCCCGAGTCAATCTTCGTCATGAGGGCTGTGGGCATCAGCTTTGCCATCATCATCGGCATCTTCTTCCTCATCCACATGTCCCTGTACAGCTATCTGCTGTTCAGGAAACCCCCACAGGACACTCAGACACCTCAGGACACCCTCACATAGGAAATTTCCAGTATGAGGAGCGTTTTCATATATTTTGGTTTCAACAGTTTTTTCAATGTTGAGTTTTTGAACGGAAAATATTTTTTTGTTCAAATTAATCTGGCAGTTTTCTTCAGAACTGTCTCTGCTTTTGAGGTGTTTTCAACTCGCCCAACTCAGCACAGAATTGGGAGTCAATATTTGTGCCTGACAGAGTTATCTTACACATCCCCCAAAGCTGGTGGCATCTGCAGGGTTTCAGCAGGGAGCAGGATGTGTCCTCCAGGCTCATCTCCTGTTTGAGGATGTGACTTGAGGATTTCAGCATTCCCGAGAGAAATCCTGCTGTGCAGGAGGGCACTGTGGGTCCCAGCCATGCTCTGGCACTTGAACTGTGTCAATGATGGTGAGCCAAACACCTGGTGATGACATGAGAAGCAAAGTCAGGGATGGAGGCAGGAAGAGACAGAGCTATGGAAACAATCTGCACTTCCCACACTCAGGGATGGAGCAGAGTACAGCTGGTTGGGTCCTTGAAGGGCAACAAACCCACCCAAAGCCCCAGCACACACTGTGTGTGTCTAGACTGGACTGTGTGTGAGCCAGGGTGGGCACACACACAGAGGCAGCTCCAGGCCTGACCCTTCCTGGGGACTTTGCCACCAAACGCAGCCCCCAGACAGAGCCTGACAGTGTCCCCAGGGAGGCACCAGCCAGGGCTGTGGGTGCCAAGCCCAGGGCTGGTGCAGGCCAGGGGGAGCACAGCCATCAAGGCTCACACAGCAGCACTGCTCCGTGCCTTTCCCTCTGAATCTCTAAAAATCTCCCAGCAGAACCCAATGTGCTTCCCCCACTGTCCTGTAATCCCCTCACCCCCCCCCCCCAGGAGCAATCCCTGCAGGGACAGAGGTGTTGGAAGCTGAGCATTGCTGTTGTATCCTCACCAGCCGTGCTTTGCTTGTTGGGAGGCAGAGCTGGCAGCAGGAAGGGCAGATTTCCAGCACAGCTCAGGGATTTGTGCAGGCAGGAATCCAGGACCCACCAACGAGCCCAGCTGGGAGCTGGCTGGAAAAGCATCCAGACACCTGGGCTGCTCCTCTGCAAGCAGCAAGGGGCGAGGCACCAGGCTCAGGCTGAAGTGACAGCCAGAGCCTCCGTCTGCCCAGGCAGCCGTGACAGCCCTGAGAATTCGGCCGAGGGCCTGGCTGGAATTGAAATCCACTGGCAGCTTTGTACCGAGAGACCAGAGAGCCATGGACAGAGCCCCGGGGGAGCAAAATTCCCAGCTCCGTGTTGAGGGGGACAGCCCTGGGATGTTGGTCCTGGCACAGGTTTCCAGGTCTGTTTCCAGCAGCAATGGGAACGATCCCAGAGCCAGCAGCTCTCACCTGGAAGATGGCGTGGGAGCAGGTGGGTGGTGCTGGCCTTGGTGTGACGCTGTGCCCGGGTTTTATTGCCCTTGGCCAACAGGAGCTGCTCTGGTGATGTGGGCTGGGGGAGAAAGGGCAGGGGCAGGATCAGTACGTGGACACAGCAGCCGGACAGCCCGGGGCTGAAACACCTGGCAGCTCTGCGGGCCCGTGGCAGCTCCAGGCCACGTCTGCTCCCAGCCAGGAGCCAGGAGGCACTGGGAGCTCCACACCCTGGTGTCACCAGGATTCCCAGACACTCTCAGCACCAGTGCAGGCACAGAACACTTTCAGGCTGTGTGTTTTGGGGTTTCTGTTGTGTCTCCCCATTCCTGCAGATGCTTGGGATGTTGTTACGGAGCTGCTGGAGGACACGGCTCCAGTTCCAATGGTCTGTGTCCTCATGCACTCCTTGAGGTGGGGGGCTGGTTCAGCTGGAAGTTGCAGTGGGGGAGAGAGATCCCAGGCTGGAAGAGGCCTCAGAGACTCCCCCTGGGCTCTTCTTCCTTCTCCCTCTCTGTGCCAACCCCAGCCAGTGCCCCCTTAGAATCCCCCGTGAGCCTGAATCCCCTTCAGGCTCCCACAGCCTCCCCTACAACACGACCTGACACCCCCTAAAACCACAGCTTCCCCAATTATTGTGCATCCCCTTTTGGCTCCTGAAGCCCCTCTGACTGTTCCCCTTTGGGCTCCCACAGGACTCCCCATGAGGGGAGCCAGGGTTCAGGGGCAGCTCCCAACTGAGCTGCCCTGAAAAAGGCACTTGCTCTGGGGTTGGCTTCTTCCCATCTCCATCATCCTATGGGTGCCTCTGCACCCTCTTCTGGGCCTGGGGAGGTCTGGGCACCCAGACCTCTGTGTCCCAGAGTGCAGGTGAGGGGTGGGGGAGCCACCCGCCCTCCTGGGACGTGACACTCTATATAGTGATGGGGAAAAGGTTTTGTTCTATATTTCCCCCCTGCTCCAATCCCATCACTGCCACCTGTGTGACATTCCCACTCTGGGACAGAGACCCCCAAGCATCTAACCCAGGGACAAGTGTTCCCACCCCTCCTGTGATCCCCTTTCCTGCCGTGCCAGGGCACATCTGGCACTGACACATCTGGCTCCCTGCACCAGCTCCTCACTGGGAGCAGGGCCAGGATCGGGACAACTCCGTGTGTGTTGCTGTCCCCCGGGGCCGGGGTCACCGGCTCCTCCTGGCTCCTTCCCTGCCTGGCAGCAGCTGAGCTCACCTTTGTCTCCTTGAGCCTGGAAGCTTCCAATTAAAACTCCCAGCCTGCTCCTAATTCGTTTGTCTCATTAAGGGGGGCCGGGGAAGAGGAGGAGGGGGAGCCCAGCTCTGCCTCCTGCCTCTGCCGGCAGCGGCCGCTTCTCGTGCTTTGATCCCGCTGCGTGGGAGCCGGGAGAGAATCAATCCCTGGGGAGCAGCGGGTGCCCACACAGGACCCCAAAGCTCCCCAGCCCCCGCTCTGTCCCCCCTCCACCCCGCCGTGCATCCCAGGGAGGGAGGTTCGCTGTCACTAGAGCTGTCACACGTGTCTCCAGGGACGCCACCGTTGTCTGGGGGCACAAGAGTCACTGGGGAACGTGTAGGTGCCCCAAACCTGGAATTTCTGTGGGCACAACCCCTGGTGACACCAGCACAGGACAGCCAGGGGAACACGGGGCTGGCGGAGACAAGGAGCGTCTGAGGATTAAAGAGGGATGTGGGAGCTCTCCCAGTCCCACCAGTCTCCACCAGTATGGTCCCTGGTGGCTTTGGGTCTCCCCAGACTGTACACACAGGGACACAGCCTTTGCCACAGCCCTTCCCACTGGCCACTGTTGGTGGCTCGGTGATGATGACCGTGGTCCAGCGGGGTGTCCCCGTCCCACGGCAGGCAGGAGCCTTTCCCAGCCATCGGCTGCCATCTACTGCCAGCGGCGGGGCCAGTCCCCATCCCTGCTCCCATCCTCGTCCCTGTCCCTGTCCCTGTCCCTGTCCCTCTTCCTGTCCCCGCAGCAGAGTCCCAGGGACTCCCCTGTCCCCCAGCTTCACCTCGGCTACCTCTCGGGGCATCCACCCTGGTGCCACCACGTGTGGCTCATGTTCCCAGAACACCCCCATCCCCTCTCCCAGGCCGTGCCCAAAACCCATCCATGCCCCAGTTTGTGCCATTATGCTGTGACTGGGAGGGACGGGGCTGGCAGTGGCCCCGTGCCCGCCCCTGGATCCAGTCCCCCGCATTTCCCGGCAGTGCCGTGCCCTGGCACCAAGGTCCCTCCCGGCTGTGCCACGGCTCTGCCTCCACACAAAGTCCCTTTCAGCAGCGGCGGAAAGCCCCTGGCAGCCAGTCCTGGCCCCCACCAGCCCTGCCATGTGCCACCAGGGGCAAAAGGTCCCCCAAAGCTCGATGCGTGTGTGCCCAGTGACACGGCTATGCACACTCAGCTGTGTGGGATGAACACCTGCTCGGATTTGGGACGGGGACCGAGGCTCCAAGGCCACCAGCCAGTGCTTCCACAGACCCCGTGAGATGAGAAGGACTTAAGAGGCTCCAGCCTCTTATCAGCTGATCTTCACTAGCAGCACCCCATGGCATCGCACCCAGCCCCCTCGCTCGGGATGCCCGTGACCACCGCTCTGTCCCCGCCCTGGCGCGTCCCCCAAACCCTGCAGTGCCGGCTGGGGGGGCAGCGGTGGCCAGGAGCTGTGCGGCGGTGCCCGGGCTGGGTGCCAGGGCACAGCCATCCCGCCGGGCGCCACAGCCTGGCTCCGTGCCCGGGGCTCCTGGGCTCTATAAAAACCCTCGGCCGGGCATATCGCGCCCACCGCCCGCCATGGAGAGCCGGCGCCTGTCCTCCCACGGCCGCCGTTCCGGCCCCTCCATGCCCGTGTACCGGGTGCTCCCCGCAAGCCCCCCGGGCCGGCTCCGGCTGAGTCCCCGCCTGGGTCCCCGCCTGGGCTCGGGCAGGGTGGATTTCTCGCTGGCCACGGCGCTCAACTCGGAGTTCAGGGAGACGCGAACCAACGAGAAGGTGGAGATGATGGAGCTCAACGACCGCTTCGCCAGCTACATCGAGAAGGTGCGGCTGCTGGAGCAGCAGAACAAGGTGCTGGTGCTGGAGCTCAACCAGGCTCGGGACCAGGAGCCCTCGCGCACGGCCGACATCTACCAGGAGCAGCTGCGGGAGCTGCGGCGCCGCGTGGAGCACCTGGCCACTGCCAAGGCCCGGCTGGAGATGGAGAGGGACAACCTGGCCCAGGACCTCGGCAGCCTCCAGCAGAAGTAAGGCACTGTCCAGCTTGGGGTGGCTCTGGGGACCAGGGCGGGCCACTTGGAATGGGTGTCAGGGTTACTGACAGGTGACCACTGGAACCACAAGTGGTAGCAGGGACCAGCATGGACTCCAGGATGGTGATCAGGATCTTTCTGGTGATGGGAACCATGGTGGTAACAAGAACCAGGGTGACCCCTGGGACGAGAATGGAGTCCAGGGTGTACCCAGGGGTCAGAGATAGGAGCAAGAGCTCCTACACCTGAGACAGGGAGCAGGGTAGCCCTGGAGACCAGGGACTGGTGTGCACCAGGATTGTGATGGGATATGGGTGACCCCTGGGAACAGTGTGGGGGTGTGTGGGGTGGGCACAAGAGCTGACCTGGGTTTGGGGGGTACTGGTGTTATGGGGCTGTGTTGGCCCAGGGGGGTCTGTCCGTGGGCTGGGAGTGATCAGCAATGGTGCCAGATGTGTAACTGTGCCTCTGCTCTGGCACAGGCTGCAGGACGAGGTGACCCTGAGGCTGGAGGCTGAGAGCAACCTGGCTGCCTACAGGCAGGTGAGGGCACGGGCCAGATCCCAGCTGGGCCTCTCTTGGGAATGGGCAGGGATGGGGTGGGGATGGACAAGGATGTAGCAGGGACAGGAAGGGATGGACAGGGTGGTAGGAGGGACGGGCAGGAGCAGGAACTGAGGGACTGGTATGTGTTACAATGGGCAGGTAGGGAACAGGAATGGAGCAGGGAAGAATGGGAAGGGCAGGGATATTGAGCATGGATGAGCAGGAATGGCAGGAGCAGGCAGTGAGGGACTGGGAAATGCTATGATGGGCAGAGAGAGGCAGGGCTGGATGGGAGCGGGGGGAATGGACATGACCAGACAGCTCAGGACAGAGGAGACCCAGGTGGGACAGTCCCTCCTGTCCCCCCATGGTGACAGGACGTGGACAATGCTGCCTTGGCTCGCCTGGACCTGGAGCGGCGCGTGGGGACCCTGCAGGACGAGATCGCCTTCCTCCATAAGGTCCACGAGGAGGTAACCCCGCTCTGGGGCTGGGGTCCTGGGGTTCAGGGGGCTGCCCTGACCCCCCTGTCCCCACAGGAGCTGCGGGAGCTGCAGGAGCAGCTGGCCCGGCAGCGAGTGCACATCGAGGTGGACGCGAGCAAGCCGGACCTGACGGCCGCCCTGCGCGACATCCGCAGCCAGTACGAGGCCATGGCCGCCAGCAACGTCCAGGAGACCGAGGAGTGGTACAAGTCCAAGGTGCAGTGGGAGCTCTTTGCCCCACACATGGATGGCCTGGCTGTCCCTCCCTAGGGTGTCACCATCTCGGGGTTGATCACCCGGGGTTGGGTGGTTCTCGGTGATGTGCTGGGTTCAAGATCTCTGCTGTCCCCACTTGTGCCAAGGATGTTTCTCCTTGCCATGTGTTCCTGGGGCCATGTCCCTGCTGTGGAGCAGAGCAGGGCTGTGTTCCCACACTGTGTGCCACCAGAACACATCCCTGCCCTGTGCTCCCATCCCGTGGCACACGTCCCCTGTCCCAGTTTGCAGATCTGACGGACGCGGCCGCCCGGCACGCCGAGGCCTTGAGGGTGGCCAAGCAGGAGGCCAACGAGTACCGGCGCCAGCTCCAGGCCCTCACCTGCGACCTGGAGGCTCTGCGGGGCTCGGTAGGTGACAGCCATGGGGTGCAAGAGCAGGGACACAGCCTCAGGGAGCTGCCGCCATCAGGGGGTTCCCTGGCGGGACCACCACCCAGTGCCAGGGGAATGGCTGGTCCCCAAGGGCAGGAGATGGATGGGAGAGGCCCCAGCTGCTGGGAGAAGGTGGCCATGGAGGGTGTCAGAACCCCCCGTGGTCCCCCAGAACGAGTCCCTGGAGAGGCAGCTGCGGGAGCTGGAGGAACGCTATGCCCTGGAGACAGCTGGCTACCAGGACACGGTGGTGAGGCTGGAGGAGGACATCCACAGCCTCAAGGAGGAGATGGCCCAGCACCTGCAGGACTACCAGGACCTGCTCAACGTCAAGCTGGCCCTCGACATGGAGATCACCACATACCGCAAGCTGCTGGAGGGCGAGGAGAGCAGGTGACAGCTCCACCCTGCCCCTCACCCCACCCCAGCCACGTCCCCAACCAAGCCCAAGTCCTCGTGGTCCCTCTGGGGTGTCCATCTGGGTTGGGGACCATCCTCCAGCCCTGCTGCCACAGCCCCAGGCAGGTGGAGCTGAGGGGCCTCGTGCTCTTCCCAATGTTTCCGTTGTGCCTGCAGGATCACCATCCCTGTGCAGAGCTTCTCCAACCTGCAGATCCGAGGTGAGGCTGTGCCCCACACGTGGGCAGGGGGAGTGGGATGGTGGCACAAACAGGGGTGGCTTCTGGGGGTTCTGTGGCAGGAGAAGCCACCTTTGCCATCCCTGCCCCATTCAGAGGAATCAGGAGGTTTTTCTCTGAGTCTCAGGGAAGCAGGACTCCTGAGTGCTCCCAGGGTGGGGGAGGAGGGTGCCATGGCCATATCCCCAAGGCTGAACATGTCCCCAAGGCCGATGATGTCCCCAACACTGATCACATCATCATATCCTCAATGACAACCACATCCCTAAGGCCAACTGTGTTCCTCAGCAACAACTGTGTCCCCAAGGACAACCCTGTCCCCAAGCTCAATCACATCCCAAAGACACCCATGTCCCCACGGTCGACAACATCTCCAAGGCCAGAAATGTCCCCAATTGTCCCCGCAGCCCAACTATGTCCCTAGGATGCATCAGATCCCACAGCCTGCCACATCTCCAAGGACAACCATGTCCCTGTGTCCCCAGGGGTGCTCTCTCTCATGGTTCAGGGGTTTCCAGCCCAATCCATTTTCTTTGGGCTTCTCCTCTTGAGTGTGGCTGGAAGGGCCATACCCTGGGCAGGGTGTCACTGCCTTTTCCTGCCCATGTCCCCCAGAGACCAGCCTGGACACCAAATCTGTGTCAGAAGCCCATGTGAAGAGGAGCATCGTGGTCAAAACTGTGGAGACCCGAGATGGAGAGGTGGGAAACCCTCATCTGTGTCACCCACACTCCATCCCCACCTCCCCCAGGGTGTCCCCAAGAGACTTGTACATGGGGCAAGCCCCACAGGCAGCCCAGGCAGGGAGCCAGAGATCCCTGAGAGTATGCATGATCTGCCCTGGGTCATGGCAGAGCTGGGGCTGGCAGGTCATAGCAAAAACTGTCCTGTCCCTGTCCCTGTCCCTGTCCTTGTCCCCAAACTCGTTCAGGGCTCAGCCTGTGGCAGAACCCGATCCTTGGCTGACTGTCCCTCTGCCTCCCCCTCCAGGTGCTGAAGGAGTCCAAGCAGGAGCACAAGGAGGTGCCGTAGGGCGGGGGAGCCTCAGCAGCCGCAGCTCCGCAGGTCCCGCCGCAGCCGCGCGGGAGCCCCGGGCCGGGCACGGGGCACGGGAGGGACCGGGGGCGCTTCGGCGGGGGCACCTTCCTCCCGTGCACCCCTCGCCTCTCCCACGTGCCCCCGTGCCCAGGGTCCGGTGGCATCCCGCCAGGGGCTGTCAGACAGCAGAGCGCCCGTGGGACCGGGCAGCACCCGCGGGAGTCCAGCGGATCCTGGAGGATCCGAATTCCCCGCCGGGGTGCTGCCACATTCCTACAGCACCGGGTGCCGGGGCCTTGGGGACCCTTCCTGCCTCATCCTGGGTCTCCAGGGGCAGTCTGTCCTGTTTCGATCTCCATGCACCGTCAGACAACACGATGGTGCCAAGAGCATTTCCCTGCACCCACTCTCTGGTCTGGGAGACTCCCCTGGATCTCCCCAGTGCACCCAGAGCATCTTCGGGTGGGGGGATGCAGGGTACGAGGTACCGGCTGGAGAGGGACATTTCCCTGTCACCAAGCGCTGGGTGAGCTCAGCTGGGAGGCAGGGACAGGAGGAAGGGGAGGATGAAGAGGCAGGGGTGGAGGAAGAAGAGCTTTTGGGATGGTGTCAAGGGGTGACAAAACGGGCATCAGGAGGGGTTCCTGAAGGTGCTGGGGTGCCCAGGGTGGCTTGTGGGGCTACACAGTGGCCTCAAGGGCTTCTCCTGGCACCGAGCCATGGGACTGTCCTGATCCTACTGAGTAACTGTGACCAAGGTGTCCCCAACACTGGCAGGAAGAAACAGATCTGAGGGGCTCATGGTGAGGAGTGACCCATGGCCCTATGGCAAGAGAACCTCAAGCTTGTGAAAATGGAGAAGAGAGGGGTGCAGAGGAGGAGAAGGAAGGTGTCGGGGCACTGTGAGGATCTCACAGCACGAGGTGTCACCTACAGTCTTTGCTGCAGCCACTGACCTTAGCAGGACCTGCCTGATGCCACCTGACAAGGGAACAATGACCCCGCAGCACTTCCTGAGCCCTGTCAGCCTTTGGGATGAGCACACAGCTGCCCTGGGGTGCCACCCCCTCGTCCCCCCTGTCCCCTTGGTCAGGTGCTGAGCAGCTCTGCTCTGACTCCAGAAACACAACACCCGGTCCTGTAACTGCCATTCCCAGGGCTGCAAGTGTTATGGGAGAACTGGGTGGTATCCAGAGTGGGAATGCAGGGGGATGGTGCAGGGCTGGGACACCACGAGCAGCCTCCCTTGCTACTGAATTAATGCACTAACGCTGCTGCAGCTCTGGATGAGAATAAAGCTAATGAACACACTGAGCTCCCATGGCTGTGCCTGCATCCCCCTCTCTGCAGCCAGAGCAGTGAGATTTTGGGAATATCTGGGGTAGTGGGGACCTCTGGGAGCCCAAACCATCCTAATGGTGCAGGGGAATGTGCTCAGGGCTGAGCCCCAGGGCACGGATACACTCCACAAGGGACTGAACAGAGGGAAGCGGGGGCAGGGATAACACCCACAGCCACAGTGGGGTGGAAGAGATCCCCTTCCCAGGATGGGAATCAGGGATCTGCTGGGGGTTATTCACCCTCAAACCCAGCTCCTTCCCCACACAATCCCAGGCTGCAGCTCCTGGGAAGCTCCCAGCTCTCAGCTGTTGGGGCTGAGGGTGGATTGGAGATCCTGCACATCATCGACATGGTTCAAAGGCCAGAGCATCACTGGGACTCTCAGTGCCCTCCTGGACAGAGGGGTTTTTGTTGAAATCCTCAAGCCACATCCTCAGAAAACGGAGATGAGCCTGGAGGGCTCAATGCTGAGGATTAAGTGTCCACCAAAACACTGCAGAGATGTCACGACCTCTGGGGGATGACTTTTGAGTCAGGCACAAACATTGACTCCCAACTGTGCTGAGCTAAAAACACCCCAAAAGCAGCCACTTCTGAAAAAAATCACCAGATCAGTGTGAAAAATATTTTTTTCCTTCACAATTAAAAAAAACCAAAACAAAAACTAAAAGGTATGGATTTGCTCCAGCTGAGGAGCTCAAAAGGAACACTGAAGGGTTTGGAACACATAGTACTCACCATGGAAAACAAGGCAAACAAGGGTGAGAAAAGCAAGTATTAATTGGATTAAAATAGTTTGGTGGATGTTTTTAGCAGCCTCTTAGAAAAACAGCTGTAATAAATCACTGGTGCAGATCAAGAACTCTACAGAGTTTGGCCAGAACATCTTGCACCAGCTCCAAGTATTCTTTTGAAAAGGACTTTATTGAGCTTTAACCCCCACTGCCAACCAGTGGCAGAGCCAGGAACAAATCCTGGCAGTGTGAAATCCCACCTGGAGCAAACCCTGGCATTGTCAAATCCTGTCTGTCCCTACTGAGCTGTGCCAAAACAGGGAGGTTCCCACATCAGTCCTTGCTGTCCCACTCCTGCTCTGAGGGGAGGGGGAGCAGGGACTTGGCAGTGTTTGACTGTTGATGGCCAGAACACTGGGAATTTCCAATGGCAGGATGGTCCAGGGTGTCTGAGTGCCCCGTGGGGATGATGTTCCAGCCTGGATGGGCTCTAGCGTGCCTGCCAGCAGCCACTCATGTGGGCAAGGATGATGATGATGCCCATGTTTGCTCCCAGAGGACCCTGTCTGGATGCCCAGGTGGGTGAGGATGAAGATGATGATGATGATAATGATGAAGCTCATGTTTACTCCTCATGGACCCCACCTCTTGGCAGCTCAGGTCACACCATGAACTGGCTGACCTGGAAAGGGTCCCAGTGGGTTTCACAGCCCCATCCTCTGTCACCATTCACACAATCTCTGCTCCACTGCATTTCTCCTGAGTCTTCCCACCAAACCCCAGGGATTTTGTCTTTCCCAAGAGGTGGGGATACTGCTTCCAGCCTTGACATCCTCACCCTGAGCCTTGGCACCACTCACTGTTCCTACCAGAGCTGTGACTTGTGCTGGGGCTGTTCTGGCATCAAAATCCTCTATCCCGATATTGGGTAACTCCAGGATCTTCTCTTGTTGAAGTCTCCAGCCCTCAGCTATCCTCAGGTGTGCAAAGGCAGGAGGAATGGCACCACAGCATAGTGCACGGACACACATGTCCCCTCAAGTGGCGCCACAAAGCCCAGTATTCCCATGCCAGTCCTTGGGGATGAACCTGGACCCTCCATCATGTGCCTGGTGGTTTCTCCAGGGCAGGTGAGAATAGGTGGCTCCAGTCTGCTGGGATGAATGCCATTTGCTGCACTGGGTCTGGGCAAAAAATGTACCTGACAGTTGTCAATGTCATCAATTACATCTCCTAAAACCCCTCAGTGACCGTGGACAGGGCTGGAAGAGGAAAGAGACTATTTGGGTTTGGGTTTCTCCTTCAAAACTACCACCCAATGTTTTCTTTCCTGCAGTTTTCTCCTTATCCAAGAGAATCTCCCATACCCATCTGTGAGGACACTGCTCAGAGATCACAGCACCACAGCTTGGGAGCTAAATTTTATTTGTGCCCTCGGTGATGGCAAAGTCAAGTTCTGGGTTTTTTTCTGAGCCTCTTTAACCTTGTTTCTGCTCAATCCTGGTGCTCCTGCTCCCTCAGCTGACCTGGTAACACTTCATCAGCTCCACCACTGTCCTCTCCTCCTCAGTTTCCTTTTCTAAGTGGGTCTCCATGGGATGGGCTTCCCTCCCTGCCTCACAGTTGGCTGGGCTGCCAGGCTGTCCAGCAGCCTGACAATCCCTGCTCTGCAGCTTCCTGAACAAATCCTGCCTGCTCTCCTTCTCTGCCTGGCTCAGGAGAGCCACGTTCAGCCCGAAGCGCTTGGTGCCCGCCAGGCTCTGTAGGATCTGAAGGACGGCAGCTCTGTCTCCAGGACAGATGTTCTCTGCCAGCACTGTCAGGAATTCCCCCAGGAGACCAAAGCCCACATCAACCTGGAAGATCCTGCCCAAGGCCTCCCCTCCGAGCTCCAGCAAAAACTGGTATTTCTCTGTCCCACTTTTGAAGCATCTGCGCCAGTCTCCGTGAAATTCTGCAGCAGTCCTGGGCATGTGATCCAGTTCCTGAAGGAGAAAAGAGACACACAGTTCCTTTTGTTTTGGTCCCACTTGAAGACTTTGATCCCCTCACTCTGATCAGCCCATGGACCACCGAGATGTTCTTACCAAGGGCTTTGGCACCACGAGGAGCTGCTGAGGGGGAAAAGGGGAAGACAAGGAAATGCCAGGTGCCTTTAACCCTGAGAAACCACGGAACTGCAGGGGGAAAAGGGAAGGGTGGGTGAGATGTGACACCCAGTGTGAACACAGATGGTTGTAGAGTGACCCCAACCCCAAGCAGAGTCAGACTCTGCCCAGCCTGTATGCACCAGCACTGCCTGAGAAGGGATCTCACAAAGACTGGGAACACTCAGCACTGAGAGGAAAAACAAGAGAGTGGCAGAGAAAAGGTGGGAGAAGCAAACCCAGAAAATGTGCTGGTACCAGCCGGCATTGGTGGGTCTGTGGCAGAGCAGAGACTGAAAGTTGAGCTCCAAGTGGCATTCCTGGGTAAAGGAAATCCCACTTTATACCAGTTCTAATTAACTGCTGAGCCCATCCCTGCTGGGTCACCGACACACAGGCAGAAGGAGAAGGCAAATGTGCAGCTTTTCTACAGCCAGGGAACAAAGCAGTGACATCAGCTGGGGCTGAGCACAGAGGGAAAGCTCTGGAGAACTGAGCCTGGTGCTGATGGGATCGGGAGCAGGGTTTGCTTGGAGAGATCATTGCTCAGTCCAAGGAAACACAATTTTTGCAGCTCAGGAGAGTTGCAAAAGATTTTATAATAAACACAGGTCAATGAAATCCAGCATAATAAACAATCCTTGGGATTGTTTATAAGGCAATCCATGAAATTGCCTTATCATGGGAAACGTCCATGGCAAACATTCAGTGACCAGGACACTCCAGGGTGGACAGAGCCCATGGCAGGGCAGGACTGAGGACTCCAATCACAAATGACCTGGACAGAAAATGTCCTGTCCCTGTTTCCCACCACTGAGGGAGTCAGTGAGCTCATCACGCTCAGTAAGGATTAACCCAACCCAGCCCTTTTCCATGATCATTAAACCATGGACAAAGCACCAGCTGTGCTCAGGGAACCTCTGCAGCCAGAGGTTGTTCCAGGGAGGATCCTGGTGCACAGCCCCGGCTCTGGGTCCCAGGCTGCAGCTGCTGGGAGCTACTCCCAGCCAGGAGGGACAGCTCCCACAGACTGTTCCTGGCCACCATGGGGGGCACTGGGAGCTCTGGGTCCAGGGTGGGCCTCCATTCCCTCAGGGATGGAGCAGACTCTCCCTGAAGGGGCCCAGCCTGACCCTGAGCTGATCTAAACCCCAATACTCCAGGGTGAGTCCTGAGTAACTCTTGCATTCCAATTAACACCCAGATGAGTCTCAGTCATTTTCTCTGTAGATGAGGCCCTGGCAGCCTCTCCCTCACCTGTGGGGTCTCCTTGACCTGTGGGATCTCCACAGTGTGGCCAGGTGCTGCCTTGCCCGGGGCTGCACAGGGATTCCACAGCACATTCCTCCTTTGGCCCAGCCTGTCCTTCTTCTCCAGAGGCTTCAGGTGTGAGGCCAGCACAATCTCCCTAAAGGGAACGGGGACAGGAGGGACACGTGGCAAGAGATAAAACACTTCGAGGCTTCAAGCTGCTTCTCTGAGCCAGTTTCTGACTTTGGACTGTATGGATCACCCAGAGGGGCTGGACAGGCTGGAGGAGCAGGCCCTTACTAATACAAGGATAAATCAGCTTAAAATCCCTCAGGAATCCCATCAGAGGAACTGGCAAGATATCTGGGGGAGAAGACACTTGAAAGTGTTTCCCTGCCTCTCAGGGATCAAGTAGCATGGGGAAACGAGACAGCTATGAATCCATGAATGGAATTTGATTTGGTCCCGAGGAATTTGATCAGAATGTTTAAGTGTGATCTAAGTCCTGGATCTATCTATGGATCCTCGATGTCAATGGACAAGGAGCCCCCAGATGGATCCATAGGGAATCCAGGAGTTTGGAGGGCACTGGGAGTGTCTAACATTGCCCCATGGAGCAGGCCTGCCATCCCAACCTGCTCACAACCCCCTGGACAAAACAGTGAGAGGACAGGGAGCAGGAACAGGCGGGGAATGGCACAGGGGTCACTGTCACCCTCTGCTTCTGCATTCCCATTACGGCCTGGGGGTGTGGGGAGAGACGAGAGGCTGGGTGTGGGAATGGGAAGAGGTGACAGAAGGTGTCCCCTTCTGGGGAGGGTACTGTGTTCTGGGGAGGGGACAGTGTCATTCCACTGCTGGCCACAGCCCGGCAACCACAGGGACCGGTCACGGAGCACGGACAGGTCTCAGCCCACATGGGGCCACCTGAGGAGTTTTGAGACAAATCTCAGCCACGGCCGAGTGTCCACACCTGCGGGCTCTGTCCTCGGGGCTGCTCTGAGCATCCCGAGGCTGCTGCCCCTCGGGTCCCCCAAGAGCAGTGCTCGGGCCATCAGCTCCGAGCTCAGAACCCGAAGGGTCCCGAAGCCCCAAAACGAGTTCCCGGCTCCTCCCGGACCTGAACTGGTCGTAGTCAGGGACGCCCTGGCGCAGCGCCCGCAGCTTGGCCTCGCCCTCCCGCTGCCGCCGCTCGTCGTCCGCCAGCGCCGCCCGCAGCTCCCGCTCCAGCGCCGGCAGCGCTCCGGCCGGATCCATCCCCGGATCCATGCCCGGATCCATCCCCAGGCACCGCCGCCACCTGCGGGACGTGGGGACGGCGCCCGCCTAGGGGCACAGGGACTCCTCCTGTCGAGACAGCTCTGCCTGCGGTGGCTTCGAGGACTCAATTCTGTCACAACAGCGCTGCAGGGACTGGCCCGACAACCCCGATCTTATCGTGACAGTCCTGCCTTGCGGTCCCCCACTGTGACAGCCTAAAGGCCGCGCACGTGGATGGCAACTGGGAACCTCTCCCCTATTGCGAAAATCCCCAGGCCCTGACACACCGCCTGCCCCAGGGCCCCTTGCTCTGTCGCGACAGCCCCGCGGGTGACGAACACTTCGGCCCCACGGCCGCTCTCTCTATCGCCGCAGTCCCGCTCCCGCCGCTGGAGCGCCGGGGCCGCGCAAGGTCCCCGTGGCTGCCGCGGCCGCGCCTGACAGAACCGGCCCCGCCGCCCCGCGCTGCCCCGCTGGGCCCGCGGCCCCCGGGACGCTCCGGAACCGGCCCCGACCCGGCCCCGGACCCACTCGGCGCTTCTCAGGCGGTGCGGCGCTGGCGCAGGGCGCGGGACGCTCTGTCGCGACAGGCGGCGAGGGCAGCCCGGGGGCCTTCGGCAGCAGCGGCGCCGGCGAGAGCAGCGGCGGGAGTGGAGCCGGGGCAGGTGAGGGAGAGCGGGGCCGAGACCGGGCCGGGGTTTGGGGCTGGGCCAGGGCCGGGCCAGATCCACTGGTGTCACAGGCTCTGAGCGGGTTCGGTCAGCGGCCCCGGCCTGTGCACCCCCACCGACCCTCTTCCCGCTCCCCAGCATGGACACCGACCTGTACGACGAGTTTGGGAACTACATCGGGCCCGAGTTGGACTCGGACGATGACGACGACGAGCTGGGCCGGGAGTCCAAAGACCTGGACGAGGTGAGTGCGGAGGAAGGGCAGCGACCCCCCGGGCCGGCGGGGCTCGTCCTGCCCCGGCCCCTGAGCGGGGACGGGCCCGCGGCTGCTGCTGCCCCTGCGGGGTCTGGGAGGCTGGTCAGTGCGGAGTCTGAACCTCAAGGGTGGGAGTGGGCCTGGTTAAAGAACTTACAAAATCTGTTCCTGGGGTAAAGAGAAAGAGTTCTTGCTGGAATCGCGGTGGGAGCTAGGAGCTCCTGCGGCTCGAGCTGTGTTTAGCTGGTTTTGGTGTCGGTCCCGTGGAGGGTTCGTGTCCCTTCGGGATCCCCTCAGGAGGGAGCTTAGGCTGTCGCTGGAGCCGGATCCTCGCGGGGGGAGGCAGAGCAAGACTCCACGGACACGGGGGGAGCAGAGTGGCTGCCCCACTGTGGAAACGAGGGAGCCCCTTCCAATCTCCTGCCGGTCTGTGTGGGGTGGGGTTGTGTTACCCGGGTGTGGTTCTTGCGTTGTGCTGTGTGGGGTTGCTGTGTGTGAGTCGCTGTCTGTGCTGGTGGCCCTGCAAGTCCAGGGGCTGTTGCAGGTCCAGGTGCTGTGGGAAGAGCCGTACTGCTCCTCCAGGAGCTGCTCCCAGGGCACCTCTGTGGGTACTGGGGCTGCGCTGGGGGTCCCTTGCTCGGGGGTGACCCCCGGCCTGTCCCCTCGGGGGGCTCCACAGCAGCTGAGGGTGAGCCTTGGTTGCAGCTGGAGGATGATGACGATGATGATGACATGGGGGAACACGATGAGGAGCACCCCGGGATGGAGGTGGTGCTGCATGAGGACAAGAAGTACTACCCCACAGCAGAGGAGGTCTATGGGCCTGAGGTGGAGACCATCGTGCAGGAGGAGGACACACAGCCACTCACTGGTGAGTGGGGAGGGAGCTGTGGGAGGGGATGGAGGGAGAAGAGGAATCTTAATGGATCCTTAGAAAGGATAATATTCCCTTCTGTTCTGCCCGTTTGGAGTCCCCTCATAGCCTCAGGGACTCTGTCTGGTGTGTGCAGATTTGTGATTTTTGCAAATCCAAACAAATATATCTTTGGAAGAAAAGGAATCAGCAGAGACAGGAAAGATATTTAAGGGAAAAGTAAATGCATTTAAATTATCTCCTCTGATCCCTGGATACTGGAATGGTTTGGCTCAAAGGGCCCTGCAGTGACCATCTCCTGTAGCTCTGACAAACAGCTGAGATAATCTGTCAGCCTGAAAATTAGGCTTGTCAGGAAAACTCCCCATTCCTGGGGACGATTCCTGACCCTGCTGGTTCAGGGGCTCTGGGAACAGTTTGTTGTTCTTCCTCTTGTTTCAGAGCCCATTATTAAACCTGTGAAAACCAAGAAGTTCTCCCTGATGGAGCAGACACTGCCAGTCACTGTCTACGAGATGGAGTGAGTGTGGGGCTGGGGGAGGCAAATTTGGGGGCTCTGGCTTTGTGTCTTACTGACCCCAGCACAGACCTGAGAGCAGCCAGTTCCCAGGTTCCAAGAGGAAATGCAAGACAAACCATTTCACAGACATTTTCCCTCCCCACCAGCAGCATGGGGTAGGGTTGAACACAAAAGGGGAATCTCACCTCAGGGGCTGAGATCAAGCTCCACAGCAACAGCTTATGGCTCAGGAAATGTTCTTGGAATGGTTTGGGTTACAAGAGACCTTAAAACCCAGCCAGTCCCATACCTGCTATGAGCAGAGGATGGGACTAGATCCTTCCCCTATCCCAGGGTGCTCCAAGCCCCAGTGTCCAACCCGGCCTTGGACTCTTCAGGGATGGAGCAGCCACAGCTTCTCTGGCCAAACTGTTAAATGTCCACATGGTCAGTATGTAGCATACATCATATTGGGACATTTTGGGTTGATCCCAGTCTCAGATTAGGTGCCATCTATTTCAGTTTCTATTGGGAATTTTTATGCTGCTGGGTGAGTGCCGAGTGCTGTGCAGTCAGCAGAACACTGCAGCTGTGCTGGGTGGCTCTATTGGTTGTGTCCCAAAGCAGCTTCTTGGACACCAGGGCTGGGAGAAAAACTCCTGGGAAAAACTCCAAATGCATTTAAAATTGGAAATGTAATATCTCAAATGAGTTTGCTGTGTAATAAGAACCATCCTTTGCTTTTTCTGGTGAAAGTCTGATGTTGGAGCAGCATTTGCACATTGTGGTGTGCAGAGGGTCTGTGTCCCTGTATGAGCAGTGTGTGTGTGTTGTTTCTCTTTGGGATGAGCAGATGGAACTGTGGGAGTCTCCTTGGGCTCATCTCTCCACTCACCACTCTGTGGCCTGTCAGGGCTTTTCCCAGTTTTAAATATTCATCTCCAGGTGTAGGTGCCAGAACTGTTGTGGCTGAGCAGCAGTTCCCTGGTGCAGGGCAGTGCCTCTGCCTGGCACCCAGCACCTCCTGTTTTCCAGAGGGGACAGGATGGATGTTCCTGGAGCTGCTGTGCACTCAGGGGTCCCTCAGCTGCCCAAGGCTTTGCTCGGTGCCTGGGAGGTTCAGCAGAGCTGGAGCAGAGCCCAGGAGCTGCTGGGGCTGGTTTTTCTCAGCCCTTGTTTTGGCTCAGTCCCTGACCTGGGCTCTTTGTTATCCACCACTTCCCTGATCCCTGGATGCTGTTCTCATTCTATTTGTAATTAATTCATCTTACTCCTGTTTGTTGATATAAATGGTTAGGATGGGCCAGTTCCTTATGGGATATAGCCAGAAACCTGCAAGCATGCTATTGATTTCCCATTTAGCCTTATTTTCAGACCAATTAGGAAGGTTTTAATCGGGGTTAGTATTGATTGCTGTATTTTTTAGTTCTTAATCAAAACGTTTTACATTTTCACTGTTGCATCAGTGAAAATTAAATCTCTTTAAAAAGGAAATTATTTGACAGCACTTATTCTCTGCAGGCCTCTGGCAGTGGCTCAATGTTTTATAGCCTCCCATTATTTTTTAGGGGTGGTAATTTAGGATCTCAATTATCTTTTGGCTAGCATCCATCCAGAAGTGACCAGCTCATCATTACCCAGCTCAGCTGCTGATTTGAAAAAGACTTAATTCCTTGAGTCCCTGGAATGTCACTGTTTTAAGACTTGAAAATCAGAATTAATTGTCTGTGGAGCCCCTGGCTGCCTTCAAAGTTCCGTGGGGTGCTTGTTATCCAGCACCACGATTTACCTGACTGCCTGCCATGAGTGCAAATGCTTCATCATCTGAGTACATGGATGTGATTTTTGCTCCAGTACTGACTAGAAGAGAAGAAAAATATTCAATAATATTCCATTGCTGGCAGCTTTACCAGCTCCGTATCCTCCCACCCACTGCCATCTGTCTGGGACTCCAACTCTCTTGTCCTCCCCATCTGGAAAGTGGGATTCTTCCTCCGCAGGGCATTGGCAGAATAAAAGTTTGGCGAGGATTCAGGGGGCACCTTGGATAGAAAATGTAGCTAAAAAGCAGCACCTGCTTTTCTTAGACACAGCAGAAGCCTCCAACAGCCTTTTGTGTTTTGTTCCTGCAGTTTCCTGGCAGATCTGATGGACAACTCGGAGCTGATCCGGAATGTGACTCTGTGTGGGCACCTGCACCACGGCAAGGTACTGTGAATATCCACAGTACAGGGTTGGGGATGGTGACCTGTCTGGTTGCTTTGCCAGCCCTCCTGGCCCCTGGTTCTCTGCAGCAGCACCTTCTGCTCCTCCTGCTCATGCACTTATTTATAGAATTCAAGGATGGGTTGGGTTGGAAGGACCTTAAAGCCCATCCAGTCCCATCCCTGTCACAGGCAGGGACACCTTCTACTATCCCAGGGTGCCCCAAGTCCAGCCTGGCCTTAGACACTCCCAGGGATCCAGAGGCTGCCACAGCTTCTCTGGGCATCCTGTACCAGGCCCCCCCAATCCTCACAGGGAGGAATTTCTTCCCAACATCCCATCTAACCCTGCCCTCCTCCAGCTTAAGGCCATTCTCCCTTGTCCTGGCACTGTGTTTCCCTGTGAAATGTGTAGATTTTTGTGTAGGTTGAATTTGTAGGTTTTACAATAACCTGCTCAGCGTGCTCTGTGCTGCTGCTGGAGGGATGGGGTTGTGTTTGTGTCTGTCTGAAGGGA